TGGCGATATGGACAACGCACCATACATAACCACAATATGTTTACAGATATCTTAAAATGCTCCCTTCCAGAGAAAGTATCCTAACATATGAACTATGACTCAGTACAAGACTGCATCCCCGGGAGATACAGATTGAGAAATTATGTGCACAGATGGATCTACAGCAAGGGTTTGATCTTTGGATAAGTACCAAAAACACAATCCAAGGGATGCTTTATATTTCATATTGTTGTTCTTCTAACTGTTTAAAGCAAATAGGCAACTTGACAAATCAATAAACATGCTAGGGCTGCAACAACTAATCGACATAATCGATTATTGAAAAAGTTGTCAACTTTTTCAATAATCGATTAATCGGCTTCTGATTGGTTGGCCCTGTTCACGGCTCAACACACGCTGCGCGAGCTGATAAAAACAAACTTGTCAGACACAATTTATTTTAGCAAATGTCTTTGCTACACAGTTTGAGCAGATTGTTACCACGATGGACATTTCCACATTGTTATACTGATATGTCATTAGCCATTGACAGGTCATTTGTGGCCAGTTACACTGACAATGGAGGGCACCACAATTCAGTATGTGCACCTATTTGAAGTGCAAGATGTTGGAACTTCTTGCACAGCCTCACAGAGAAACACAAGCACACAGTCAGATATGCATGCTGCACATGGCTTGTAAAAAGGAAGGAAGCCACAGCTTTATTCTCTATCTTTTTCAATACACCAGAGTATCTACCATAGATATATAACAGAACTTATACACACTGCCATCTAGTGGCTGAAATTGTATACTGCAGGGGTTATTGCAATAGATACAATAATGTGTATTCTAACACAAGATCCTACATAGAAAAATACTTCTTACTTATTAAAAGGTCAGTGATTCAGAAAGTATTAATGCTGCTAAATCGGTATAACAGCCGGGCAATCAGCATTTTCAGAAGCATTAGGTCAGAAATGGTAATCTACATATTTCTCTTAGTATGGGTTTCCTTTAAAAATCACTGCTTGAAGCTCCTTTAACACATGAACGGTTTCCATGCAAATTCAGCCAGATGAATATGCGCAGAACCGCTCTAAAAACATAAAAAAACAATGGGGGGAATTTATCAAAACTGGAGCAGACAAAATCTGGAACAGATTTGCACTGCAACCAATTAGCTTCCCTGTCTCACTTTCAATTCTTACCTGAGCAAACTGAAGAGAGATGCTGATTGCTTGCCATGGGCAACTGCTCCAATTTTGATAAATTCCCCCCAATGCATTTTAACGTGCATTGTTCAGACTATTGCGGGGACTGCAAAACAGTCCAAGAGCGATTTCAGGGGCGGATTCCGCAAGTTCGCGGCTATATGTAAAGATTTTAGCGTTTTCGTGCTGTGCTGTATTTCGCACGTAAACCGTATGGGAAACGCAAACGCTACATGTGAATGGAGCCCAATACAATTTGCTACAAATACTGTAAATAATGAAATACCTACAAAGAAAGCCTTTGCACAAAGTATGCAACGTCTGAAATAAATTAGTGAACACAGCAAGAATGTGCCATAAACCTCAGTGAGCCTAATGATAGTTAATGCAGCAGATCTCAGTTGCGAAATATTGATGATATAGTGAACATATGATACTCATTTCAGTTACTAAATATTTTTCTTAGTCCCCTGCCTATTACTTTACATTTACATTATACTGGAAACAATTTGGAAGGAAGTGGACAGCAAGCATTTGTCAAAGGATAAAGATGAAATCCGCTAAGCACTACTTGTATCAAAACTGTTGTATATATACATATTTATGGAGGGAAAAAATCCAACCTTTCTGTATATGCATTCCCTAGCAAATGTAATCAGAAGTAGTTAACTCTTCAACACAGAAATTTCTCTTTCCACTATTTAAAGTGACACTAAACATTAAAAAATGCATTCAAGTACCTTATTTATTAACAAAAATGTAGCTTTGTAAAGTACCCACCGCTCCAAGCTTCCTCTTGTGATGGACTACAATCTTAATACAAATTAGTAAACTAAATGTGAGATTGTAATCCATCACAGGAGCGAGCTTGGAGTCGTAGCTTTGTTTTAAAGGAGCAGTGGCTACTGTACAACACACACAAGGTCCATGGGGCACAAAAATAGCCAGAAAGAAGGGCAGCGTCAGCACAAACTCAGAGATGATTTGAGGTTCTACAGCTGAGTGATACACAAATAAGATACATTTTTGGTATTAGTTATCTGAATGTATTTTTAAGATTTAACTCTGGAGTTTAGTGTCACTTTAACTGTCCAGGGCCAATGTCGTGTTTACTATGGAAATCCAAACTCTTGCACATACATCAAGGATGGGTCTGACCAGACAGAACAATAGCAGTGGCGGCGTTCACCTTGGAACTTGCAGTGGGCAGAAGCCATTTGTCTGACCAATTTCCTGTTTAGCACAAGCACAGGAGTTTAAGGCAGTGTGGAATGCTAAAGGGAATAAACTCTGCACTGGCTATAAGCAGACCAAACGCTGTACACACTGTAAAACCAGGACCACATTAACTTCCGGTGGTCAAGACAAAGATCCTGTGAGAATGAAACATTACTGTAGCAAATGAAATTCTAAATATTATCCAGTGGTACAATGTTCTGATAACAGAGCTAAACCATTGCCAAGCCATAACTCTTACTGCCAAGCTTTAGATGTATTTGTAATACCTGCTCAACTAATGCAGAGTTGGAGATCTTGTAAGGTCTTTGGGAGTTCTCACAGAATCTTAGCTTCCAAAGTGGCTGACAACTGTAGTGCTAAACAGCTGCCCCTAACCAGGAAATAGAGGCATGCCTTGTTAGAGAAAACAAAATGGCAAAAGAGGGAAAGTTCCACTATGGACTGTTATAGTTCCCCTTGAAATCCAAGTACAAAACTCGTCAGGAAAATGGCAAATCTTCAGGTAAAAGTGGCCATTAACAGATCTGCCAAAGTTGCTTCCTCAAAGTCATTGCTTCTTACAACTCGAACCATCTATTCAATAATGGTGATATTGACACTTCTGTGAAGCATTCATGATCAAGATCTTCCGACTTGTTAATAAACCACTGTGTGACCTGACTAATCCTTCCCTTTTCTGAGAAGAGGTAAGGAGGTAATGAGACATACACGTATCTCATTCTTGAGAGTCACACAAAAAACAGCAGTACGTGCCAGTACTACAAAGAGTAGCAACATTCTACCCCAAGGAAACATTTGCCTATCTACAGCTGGTCAGATCATCCAATGCAATGACCTTTGTTTGGTTAAAAAAATACATATAATGCCAAGTTAGTTTTTGGCACCATAAATGAATATAATTATGTTCAAATATGCCTTCAAAATGCAGGGCAAAGAAGCTAGTTCAATTAACGGCCTGCCCTCTTGCTGTTTATGCTTATCTTCCCTTTGATTAGGTTTTTAATGCTACTTGCGTCCCTGCTTGGTGGATTTCGTTTACTTGAGAAAACCTTACCAAATTTTAAAGTGGCACTACATTCCATTAAAGGAGAACTATGAGGTGAATGAAAATCACTCATCCTCATAGTTCGAGCCGACATGTGACAATGAAACCGTTACACGTCGGCTCAATGGATTGGGAAGTGAGCGAACGCATACCATCGCTCGCTCAATTCTCGATCATCTCCGTGCAGAGAGCAATCACCTCACCCGCAGGGATTCCCCCCCTCCGATCCGCCAGCGCTGACTGGAGGAATGGACGGGGGAGAGGGCAGGTACAGCTGGCTCTGCCTCTAGATAGGCAGAGCCTGCTGTCAATCACGCAGCTGGGTGGATCTCGACAGCATTGTCGGGATCCGTCCTGGCTGCGGTGGTCTCAGTATACCGCGAGCTGTAGCTTGCAATATACTGGGCTTTGGGTGACGGGGGGATGTTAGTATATGTCCTTCCGTGACCCTTAAGAGAACTATAGGGGGATAAAATTACCCCATAGTTCTCTTTTAAATCTTAAAAATTCATTACCCTATTAGCAATACTGTACATTATTTGTGTATCACTCAGCTGTAGATCTTCAAATCATCTCTGAATTGGTGCTGACACTGGTCCCTGCATGGGTTGTAAAGTAGCCACTGCTACAAGCTTAATAGACTGTCATTTTAATACAAATTATCAAAAAAAAAGGTGAGGTTGTAGTTCATCACGAGCTTGGAGTGGTGGCTACTTTACAACACACACAGGGACCCTGGAGACAAAAGTAGCCACCCTCTAGAAGGAAGGACAGTACAAATTCAGAGATGGTTTGAGGATCTACAGCAGAGTGATACACAAATAATGTACAGTATTTTTTTTTCTTTAACCTCTAAAAACAATTCCATAGTCGATACTTCTTTAGGCCCTGTTCACACCTTTACGTTTTGTCGTTCAACGCTCTATGAACGCTCTACAAAACGTACAAACTTGAAAATCCCATTGTTTTCTATGGGTATGGTTCACACCTTTCCGTATTTCAGGCCGTCTGAATGCGCTACAAAACGGCCTACGGCCAAAGAAGTACATGTACTTCTTTGGGGCGTTTTGGTCTCGCGTTTCCATTGGGATACAGCCAAGTAGCCCTCGGAAACTCGCGTTTGTCGCGTGGTTTTTTTTTACCGCATATTGCGGTAAAATCGCGCATACTCAATACGCCTAGGTGTGAACCCAGCCTTATTGGTAACAAAAGAGTTCTGCACTTAATAATTTGACATAAAAAAGCAAAAGCTTCAGTTCGTAATCTTGTGCAGCTAAGCTACGAGGGGCTCGGCCATCACCTTTTAAAAATATCATTCTGGCATGCTGCATTTTATGATACTAGAAAATGTATTCAGAAATATGTATTCTTGCCATTACTAGCTACAATGATTCTATTAATAATATTAACCATCTGCTTCATTTGGGATCCACTATATTTTCTTGTTCAGCTTAATGCTAATCAAACACAAATGCAAGACCATATTTAGCCCAAAAAAAGTGTAAAAGTTTGTTTTTTTATACCGACTGGACGCTGAACTTCAGAAAATTCATACACAATGTAGGTGAAAACTGATTTGTGAAATTCTCTTCTCCTAATCCAAGCTTGCCATATCGTCCATCACCAAAAGAATAAAGAAGACCCTTATCTGTAACAGAAAAAAACAAACATATAATAATTTGAAATATGAGTAAACATTTCTACCTTTTCTTTACCTAGAATAAACTTATGCCCCAAATCTGCCCACAGGAGCAGAATAAACCACGGTATGATGATCAAGCATATCCCAAACATTAGCTTAAGCTAAACAGTTTTCTTTAACTCTTGGCGCTAATGGCTTCCAGCTGAACGATCCACTTGCTGTTGCATACTCAAAGTTTTCTACAGTTTATCACAGTTTTTCATACAGACTTGAGGGGCTGCTCGTTCAAGGCTCTGGGGCTTCCACCACAAAGATAGAAAACAAAGGGGAACAGAGTGCCACCTCCGTGTGTAAAATCGTTTATTAAGATAAATAAAACAAGGGATATATGAACTCACAAGCAAACGTTTTCATCATGCTTTAACAACAAACAAGAGGCCACACTGTCTGTTAACCCAACATGGTATCGCCCGAAAGCGTTTCAGGGGCAAGCCCCCTTCATCAGAATCATTTGATTCTGATGAAGGGAGTTTGCCCCTGAAACGCGTCAATCTTGGCTGACTGCGGCCGATGATGCGACCGGAGGCAACCGTGGTACATAGTCGGGGCGATACCTTGTTGGGTTAACAAGTTTCAGTTGGTGAGGGTGCTCTCCGCACACCTTACAGCAATCCCGGCCAGTAAGAACGATGGTGCTTGTAGTAACGACCACGGATGGCACCGTGCAAAGTACGAAGTAAAAAGACAGGTCACCAGCACTCAAATAATTTAAATAGGTTATTTGAGTGCTGGTGACCTGTCTTTTTACTTTGTTGGGTTAACAGACAGTGTGGCCTCTTGGTTGTTGTTAATGCGTGATGGAAACGTTTGCTTGCGAGTACATATATCCCTTGTTTTATTTATCTTAATAAATTATTTTACACAAGGAGGTGGCGCTCTGTTCCCTTTTGTTTTCATTAGCTTAAGCTAGCCTTTGTAAAATTATTTTGGGTCTATTTTATTTCTATTTTTAATAGATGAAACAGGAAAAAAATAAAGGTTTTACATTTTATGTTTTGTAGCTTTTTAACTGATGTTTCCCATCTGTAATTTCTTTATTTTGTTTATATAAAAGCTTTGTTGTAAACTAAAGTAAAAAGTCAACTTTTAATACAGGGTGCATAACATGGAATTCACAAAACACAATGGATTTTCTAAACAGAGAGCATAGCAGAGGCTGCTTTCCTTCAGACTGTGTGTCTTTAATTGAAGCTTTGTAGAGGGTTGTCTAAAGACAGCAAGATGCAAGCAAAGGGAGGTGGATAAGTTATTGCTATTTCAGTTGTGTCCAAAATTCATTTCAGCTAATCAAATAAAGGAAGCCTGGAAAACATGTCAGCATGACCCTCAGCTCTTTCTGCTAGCTGAATATTACAATACAAAATATTAAACTACAATAATTTATAGGCTACTCCACTAAAAAAATAAAATTAAAAAAAAACCTTGCTTTTTTTTTTTTGTATTTAGTCCTAATAAAGAAAATACACCATACTCACTATAAATTCCCTATAAAAGATAGTATGCAGCCTCTCCAATGTCATGTAATTTTACAAACAATAAGAGCATCTGGTTAGCTGTGGGCTATGATAACACTATCATGTTAAATCCATCTGTTTAGATATATTGTTGTTTTAGCTAAAAAGAGACCCAGATAAAATAGCAGTTTTTTTACTGGTAGAAAAGGCTGTAGGTGAAATCAGCATTCACAGCTCCTGAAGGGTTGGGGGGACCCCACTGCATTCCTCCACAGAGGCATCTCAAGCAGGGATCTGCTGTTAGTATAAAGAAGAAAACCCTTCTGTATTTTAACAACAGACCTCAACCGTAGTGGAAAACAAAATGACTGCACAAGTTAGATGTAGTACTAGAAGAGATATATAATTGTTTAACTCTGCACAGTGATTACTGTTTTAACAAATTACTACCTAATCTAACACAGAAAAACAAATGTAACACCACGTTATATCTGCTGTTATATAATACAGCACAAAAACAGTCTCTGCATCACAAAGCAGTTTTGTATTGTGGAATACATATTACAGCTTACCCACCTGTAATTACTGCAGTGTGGTTTTCCCCACAAGCAGCATATCGAACTCTATGTGGCTTCAAAGCCTCGACAACTTTGGGTGTAGGCGTTTCAAAAATAAAAGTGCCATGTCCTAGTTGTCCAAACTGACCAAGTCCAAATGTATAGACTTCTTTGTCTGAAAAAAAAAAAAAATAGAGCTAGTCGAAGTAAATAAATATACATACATGCATACATACATACATACATACATACATACATACATACATACATACATACATACATACATACCGGCAGTATAAACCGATTTATTACATTTATAAGCACTAATGAAAATTCATATTCGGAGATTACATACTAGATTCCTATAACTCTTTGTAACTTTATTTGCAAGACACCCCTTTACCAGAATTCCCAGGTCCACCCACATGCTATGGCTATTACAAAGCCAAATGCTAAGTTTTTTTTTCACCTCCCAGTGGATTTACAAAAACAAATCTGGGGAGCCCTTGTGCAACACCGTGAACATACATACATACATACATACATACATACATACCGGCAGTATAAACCGATTTATTACATTTATAAGCACTAATGAAAATTCATATTCGGAGATTACATACTAGATTCCTATAACTCTTTGTAACTTTATTTGCAAGACACCCCTTTACCAGAATTCCCAGGTCCACCCACATGCTATGGCTATTACAAAGCCAAATGCTAAGTTTTTTTTTCACCTCCCAGTGGATTTACAAAAACAAATCTGGGGAGCCCTTGTGCAACACCGTGACATGTGACTAATAAGAAAGCTCACTACGGGAATCTTCAGGAGTACATACAAAACAAAAGGTGATTTAGCTCCCCGACTACTGAAATATTAGTGATGGGTGGATTTACCAGCAAAGGATAGCTGCACCTTTGTTTAAATATCAAGATTTAAACTGATTAAATCCGCAAAATAAATGTTATATTTTATTTCCACATAAAGGGTTATTCACAAAAGGGTGAAGAGTTTGGAGAAGGCAGGGGAGGAGAACAATCTAGGACAACATAGCTGATTTGGAAACATTCTCCAATTCAGCTCACTTTCCAGTTCACCTATAATGTCCTAGATTGTTCACTTCTCCCGCCTTCTCCAAACTCTTCACCCTGTTGTGAAAAACCCTGTAAGTTTATGTCATGGTCTGCCAGATATAACTCTGTTGCTGAAATCAACCAAAATGGTGGCCACTTATCACTACTAAGTGACCATCCACGCTCCTGTGGAACTCCATGGTGAGTGTGTGAATGATGCTAAATCTTCTCAGCGTGTCCACCAATCAGCTAACAGAGAAGGAGCAGCGGCAGTGAGTTTCTCATGTGCATTGAATGCTGGGATATGTAGAGCACAGGAGAATACTTCCTGTATAAGTGTTCCTCAACAGGAGCCTGGATGGTCACTTTGTAATGAAATAAGCGGCCACCATTTTTGTCAATGTCCGCAAAAGAATTAATGTAGGCAGACCATGACAACAATCTTAATTTATGTGGAAAAATCATATAGCATTTCTATAGCTGATGGGACAACAGCCTAATGTAAATAAACCTAAACTTGTTAGCATAATAAATCCTCGTTTCCGTGTATAGTTTGTGAACATGCCAAGTAATGCTGTACTTGAAATATCTCACGCTAAAGCTGGCCATACACAGTTGGGGGTTTTTTGCTCACCCTGCGGGCTGAGCGGGAACAAAAAAAACATAACAGATTTCTCTATCCAAGCTAAACAACGTGGATGGACAAATCTCCCACTGTGTCCTTAGTATTCTGACTGGCTTCATCAATTTTCCATCTGGCTTCATCAATTTTCTGTTCTAAGGATGCCAGACTGAAGGGCAACGACAGGGGCACCCATTGTGCAAATTTTGGCCGGGTCATTAAGAACCAGCCAAAATTCACAGTGTATGGCCAGCTTAAATTTACCAGGAAGTGTCTATATCACAGAAAACAATAGACTGTTGGCAATCTGCAATTAAATGACATAAAACATGACAGCTTAACATAAGCAGCCACCAGTTTCCTTAATTTTAGCAACAGAGGTAAGTTAGCCAGACCATGACAAAAAACTTTATTTTAAGAGGGGGAAAAAAACAGCGCTTATATTGCTTCTTTAGCACATGTGCTAGACTGATTAGAATATTGATTTTTAAAACAAAGATGCAGTTGTCCTAGGAGAACTCCAGGAAAACGTTCTTAACCCTTGCAGTGGGCCTAGCCCCGTACTGCACGGGTTAGGTGCTCTTTGTGTCCAGGGACAAAAATAACAAAGATACACTCACCCGAAGCTTCCAGCTAGCTAGCTGTCACAATGCTCCCTCCAGCCTTAGTGTCCTCAGGTCTATACACAGTGTATAGACGTGATAATTTACAGGACCTTAGGAGGGTGAGAGACCCTGGAAGGACTGGTCTAAGAAGAAGCCGGCTCGGAGCTTCAAGTGAGTACAACTTTTTATTTTTTCCCTAGACACAAAAAAGCACGCAACCCTTGCAGTGCTGGGGTAGCCCCACTGCAAGGGTTAATGAAAACATTTTCCTGGAGCTCTTCTTTAGAATTACATTTTAGTTATAAGTAGGGATGCACAAATATTCCGACCACTGAAACATTAGATTATTTATAATTTTTTCCACATAACTTTCACCAAGTATTTGAATGAATCTGTATGAATCCGATTAAAATGTAGAAAGTGGGGATGCACTAAAATTTCGTGCATCGAAACATAAAATCGGCCGAAAATGGAACTTTGGCCAAAATACCAAAAGTGCCATCTTTTGGTCAAAATTGCGGTGCATGCCTAGTTTCTCCCCCCACGCTATGTACTACTCTGTGGCTCCTCTGACACAGAGCAGCATCCCGCGAGGAGGAGAAAAAAAAAACTGTCAGGAGGCGGAGTGGGGAGGAGAGCACTGTGAGCGTGTCACAGTAGGAGCTCTCCTCCCGCACTGGCCTGCTCAGCCTCCAATAACACATCAGGAGAGGGGTGTGTGGGCGGAGACAGCTGTCACAGGAGGCCAAAACAACAGTGAGGGGGAGGAGTCAGTTGTCAAATGAGACCGAGCTCTCCTCCCTGCACCAGAAGCTTAGCCTCCTGCTAGAGCCGATCCAAGATGGAGAACGGTATACAAAACATTCAATGATCAGTGATCTCTGAATGTTTGTAAATAACTGGACATAGCATGAGTTACTATATACACCAGTTATGAATGAATAGGAAGTGATATACATCACTTCCTATTCATTCATGAATTTTGGGTTTGTTTTTTTATATTTTCGGTTTAAAAATGTTATTTCGGTGCACCTCTAGTTATAAGTATAAACTACTTTTTGCTACCCAGATCCCTTCCTCCTGTGTTTAGTTGTTGCTGTGCTCAGTCACGTTAACACAAATTTATACGCATTTAGCTGTGTAATACCGGGCTAAACAGACCCGGGATGCAGACATTTCAAGACTGAATGAACCTAGACACTGCTGAATGTGTAGGTGTGCATTCAGTCCAAGAAAAGCATTCACTTCTAGGTACGTTTAGAAACCTATTGTTAGGTTCCGACCATCACTTTCGGTTTCATACACAGATAACTACTTTCTAATGCACCGATTAAAAAATAAATGAAAAAGCTCTCAAAGCACATGTGCATAGATAACGCACCTACTGCTCAGATTGCTTCAAGACATGAAAGTCAAGGAGAAAATGTAAATATATTCATCTGAAAAAAATGTTTACATTTATGCATATTTCATGTATTAACCAACTGCTATCGGCGCAATGTTTTAAATTTATGCACACATATGTTAAAATCTGGATTTTTGGCTAGAAAACTGCTTATAATAATTACATATTTTGTGAAAGCGGAGGCCCTGTAGAAAAAAAATAAATGCTAATTGCAGTTATTTAAGTTACACGATATTTGTGAAAATGTTAATCAAAATTGATATTTTTAGGAGAAAATAAATACACTAAAATGAATTTTAGTGCACCCAATCACAATAGAATACCCAATTGTTTTGTAAAATGAAAGATGAGGCCATGTCAGGTAAATGGATACCAAAACATGTCAAAACTTGAAGCAGAACTCCAGGCAGAATCTTTATTAAGCCTTGCAGTGAGGCTACTCCTGCACTGCAAGGGTTAGCTGCACGTTTTTGTCTAGTTAAAAAAAAAAAAAGTTATACTCACCCGATCCTGTGAACTGACTTGCTCTTAGACCTGTCCCTGGAGCCTCTCTCCCCATCCTCTGCAGCTGTCTACGGTTCTGTAAATCATCACGCTCCATACACAGTGTATATACTTGCGGACGCTGAGGAACATTCCAGTGCTGCAGCAGAGGAGGGGACATGCTTCAGTGACTGGAGAAGCAGGAAGCTGGCTCAGTGGTTGGGGTGAATATTCATTTTTATTTTAGCACCTGGTGTTCTCCTCTAAAATTACGTGCACCTGTGAAATGGCAAAAAAACACAGTACTCATGTATTTGGAGTTAACAGGGAGTGATGGTTCTAGAATTATTCCTCTCACACCACTGTTTGTGGCGATATCTAACATGTGTAGCTCAAGTGTTTTCACGCTTTGCACACCGGAGCTGGCTTGTGTTTCTATGGTGGAGGGCTTTAAACAATGTTTTTGTGTTTGTTTTTGTATATGTTCCTTTAATTTGTTAAACTTAAAAGAGAACTATGGGGTAACCTTTTTATCCCATAGTTCTCTTAAGAGCCACAGGAGGACATATACTAGCGTCCTCCCGTGACCCAAAGCTCGGTATATAGCGAGCTATAGTTAGCTATATACCGAGAGCACCGCAGCCGGGACGGATCCCAACAATACTGTCGAGATCCAGCCGGCTTCGAGAGTGACAGCTGGCTCTGCCTATCTAGAGGCAGAGCCAGCTGTGCCTGCCCCCTCCTCCATCCGTTCCTGCAGTCAACGCTTGAGGATCGGATCGGTGACAGGCGGAATCCCTGCGGGGAGTGGTGACTGACAGTCAACCCTCTCTGCAGGGAGATGATTGGAAAGTGAGCAAGCGACAGTATGTGTTCGCTCACTTCCCGATCTATAGAGCCGACGTGTGACAGTTTCATATCACACTTTGGCTCAAACTATGAGGTGAGTGGAAATCACTCACCTCATAATTCTCCTTTAACATTACCGCTATCACATTAGGTGCTCACAAGCCCCCTATGTTATAGCGCAAAGGAAGTGACAGGTCCTCTATATGGAGACATGAGGAGATCCCAAATGTCACCTATGGACCACGCAGATGAAGTACAGATTGTGCTTCAAAAGCTTCTTCATTGGCCACAGCAGCCGGAGAAATGGCAAACTGAAACAGGAAGTGACTAAATACTCATCGCTTCCCAGTTCAGTAACCAGAGGGGATATTAGTCACTGGAAGTGTGCTGATCTCCCTCCAATGTAGCTGCAGAGACACACTGTGCTGGTTCTGCAGCAGAGTCCAGGATAGCCGACAGTGGCGGCGGAGGGAGGGCAGCACCCTTTTCAGCAGCATACACTGTATGTGAAAGCCGGATCCCAGCTGCACAAATCAATACCACGATCACAACTGCTGATAATCTTGGTTTTAACCACTTTAGTATGAAGAGGTATGTATACATGCAGCAGTACTAAAGTGGTTAAAAAGATAACTGTGGTCTTCTTGACCAAACTATATATGTGAAGATGTGAGATCAGCCAAATGTAAAACAAATTAACTCGTTAGTGTATTCTATGTATAGTTTGTGAATATGTCCATGGGAGAAGCCATGCTGCTCCTTGCCAAGTAGTGCTGTACTTAAAATATCTCATGATAAATTTAACAGGTTGGGCCTTTCTGAGTGAAAACAATTAGCTGTCCGCTAACTGCACTGTCATTATATAACCACAATAGTCCTGGTAGCAAAAGAACATGCAAGTTATGCTGCCTTGGCTTTAGATCACACTAGGGAGCTTTGGAATAGTAACCTTTTTTTATTGATGACAGAACAAGAGGTTAGAACCTTTTTTGGATCTGTCATTTCTTAAACCAATAATAGTTTCCTACCATGTTACGCTACTTATTTCCTACATTGAAATTCATATTAGCTTATGAATGAAACGCAGCATTTTTCTCCATTCCCCATTCTCCAATTCATCCCGTTACAGAAGTAAAAAAAGAAAATCCAACCTGAAAGAGTGAACGCTCCCCCTTGTGGACATCTGCAGACGTACACAACTGTGATATAGTTTTACAGTAAAGTGGGGTTGTATTTAAAGCTCGTCCACCTACTCTAAATGTACCAATTCCATTTCTGGAGCCAGCTTTGTTCTACAATCAATGTTTCTGTTGTCTCGAAACTCACCGCTGGCATCATTTGGCAATTCTTTCAGCTGCATGACTATTAAACAGGAATGTATAGTGATCTCAATGCTTTTTTAGATGTACATAAAAAAGATCAGCTTGATGTCAATCTTACTGGTATGTAATCATGCTGAAAAAACCCTGTGTGCAGTTTATGATGAACACGGGAGTATTTGCTTAATACATACGTGGGATCTACATTCTGCTTTACAGTACTACACAATTGTTCTACCTTACTGTCCGGACCCATTAGAAACAGTGTCCTCTCTGCCTTGATATTTTCTCAACAGTTCTTGGGTATAGAATTTTGAAAGTTCATATTTATTGGTTCATTCACACTCCCTGAAGGGTGTTATCTACAAACTAGGGCTGTGGAAATTAAAGATTCATTTCTCGTTTAATCGTTAAACTTTTTGATCGATTAAAATTATTTTGATCGCTAATGAAAACACTTCCAGGAGTCCTGTCGGCATCCGGTGACGTCACGGACATCGACGTCACCGGACTCCTCCCCCTTCCCCAAGTGGCCCCTGTCGGCTAACGAAGGGAAGGGGGGAGGAGTCAGGTGACGTCGATGTCCGTGACGTCACCGCACTCCTGCCCCCTTTGTTAGCCAACGGAGCCACTTGGGCCGGTGAGTTTGCCCAAGAAACTTTCTGCATGAGCGCCAGCCAAGGCATTGGCCTATACACATATAGCACAGCAATGAAGCAATAAAATGAACTAGGATCACACTAATCCAGCACGTTATTATTCTGAGTTGCCCCACTCAATATGGCCGCCGCTTGAGTGGGGCAACTCAGAATAATAACGTGCTGGATTAGTGTGATCCTAGTTCATTTTATTACTTCATTGCTGTGCTTTATTGTGTATAGGCCAATGTAGTTGGATCTGTATGTGCGTTATAATTAATCGAAATGTAATCGATTAAAAAAAAAATTTAGATTAATCGAACACGAAAATTGTAATCATTACCAGTCCTACTACAAACCTCTATATTTATCACAATAATAAAATTCTGGAGGAGTGAGAGTGTAAAAAAGTGAAAGCCATGTCAACAATGACTAAGGTCAACACCCCACAAATATCTCAAAATACTGTGAGAATATAGACTACTTCCCTGTTAGCCAAAAAATAAACTTAATGTACATGAACTCCCAGCTAATCTAAACCAGGTACCTAGAGGTTCAGTGGAAAATCATGCTGTGGTATCACAAGTGTCACTTGGATTACTTGAAAAATGTGCAGAATTTCCGCTATAAACATGTGGAAGGTTAGTGAGAAGAAGGTATGTAATAGCATGCAGCAAAGTCCCAGCATTACGTCAGCTAGCTATTAGGAAAAAAAGCAGAGAGATCCAAACCTAACATCTCACATGGTTGCTAAATGCTTTCATTCACACAGAACCAACTGTTGCTCCAGTCTGGCTGAACATAAAAATCCTTTTCCCTAAAGCGTATCGAAAACCAAGAACATAAACAGTGAAAATTGCAGCTTTTCAGTACTTGGAAATGATGGCTGCATTCGTTTTCTTTTTTGCTTTAGTTTCCTGCTAGTAACATCCTCCCAGACCGAGGATGACAACGCTCTCTCATTGTATTGCATCTATGAAGAAGTAGGGTTGTCACCCTAGACTGCTCCCTCCTGATTCAGACAACAGAACCTCCAGTCTTTTCATCTCCAGAACATAGGGGTTTTGTTGATTTCGCAGAGGTAATCTGGGCAAGGCTAAAAAGGTCAAAAGATATTGAACAAATATAATAATATGCTTTCAAAGGTATAGTTAAAGAAGAACTGAACTCAAAAAGTGAAGATTTGCTATGTTATAAAAACATATAGAAATGTTAAATGTGCCTAAGCACTACCTTGACATTTTTACTTTCCATCTTGCATTAGTCCTAAAAAATAGCAGTGCACTGTACTGTATGTCTAGGTATTGCTGTGCCTATGTCCTCATAGCAGTATATCTGCAGTACAAAATCTAAGACAGTGCTGTCTTTAGCAATGTCACTACTGTGCTGCTCATTGCTTACCTTGCAGTAGGCTCTGATATGAGGGAGCAAAGACAGCCGCCTCCACCCACAGACTCTAAAGATCAGCTGCAGGGAGAAGACAGGCAGAGGGCAAAGTACTAGCCACTAGTGTGGCCTGTCTTACAGTATAGGCACAGCTTCCAGAGTTCAGTTCCTCTTTAACAGAGCAAAAGGGAACACATTAGAGAAAGTTTACTGTTAAGGGTTACAAACACTTTAACATTTTGTGAAATGTAACCTCATTTAGGTCTATGAATCACGCCAAAAATAAATATAGTTACAAACCTGTGACTGCAATGGTGTGCCCTCCACCACAGCAAACCATCTTCACCTTTCCAGATATTCCAGGAACGCGTTGAGGTTGTCGGTGTTTGTCCAGCTTCTCAGCAGGCAGACCGAGCTTCCCATTTTCAGGTTCCCCGAAAGTATACAAATCCCCATCCTCTAAAGAGAGTCCCAAAATCATAAGATAATAACATAACCTCTAAAATGGATTGATCTATACGTATGCTTAAAAGGGACTTTGTAATGGTTTTATGTATATTTTCTGTACTTATTATGGTGGCAAAATAAATATAAATAATTTTTTTTTTTTAAACTGCCTTTTTGTCCATATGGCTATTTTGTATTTCACATTTTCAGTCAGCAGATGAAGCATTATGCTTTAACATGTTTTTCAGGCTATCCTTATCGGCTTTTCTGAAAAAAGGCTTGTAGTTTACAGATATCAATAGCTCAAGCTAAAATATGCGCATATAGCTGAATAAGCATGACTCATATGCCGCACTCCCCAAATGAATGACACACACACAGCCTTCCCCCAAAGGAATGATTTACCTCCCACCTACCAGCTCCCTGTCTGCTCTGTTCAAAGGTATGACTGCCCACGATCTCAACCACCTTCATCCTCCTCTTTGCCTTCTCTGTTCAGAGGAATGATTCCCCACCACCCACCTCCATTATCCTCTTTGCCTGCTCTGTTGAGACAAATTACATGATTCACCTACCCTCTCCATTCCCCTCTGCCTTATCGGTTATGGAAGGAATGACTCCCTCCACCTTAATTTCCCTTTTTTATTTGAGAAACATTTTGTCAACACAGGGTCCCAGTACCAAATGTGCATTTGAGCAGACCAAGAATAAAATTTTTATGTCCTGGAGTTTAGTTTTCTATGCATTTTTACAGGGATAGGACATGTATGGCTGCCCACACATGGCAAACGTACCATATGTGCTTTTTACACATCACAGCCTCTATCCCTACACAAACTGTGCTTGTGAGTATATAAATCTATTCAGTGTCCATTTTTTGTGCAGTCAGACTGTCTATCTCCATCTATAACCCACCCAGCAAAGAAATCAATGTTATGGGACCTACTTATTAGGTCGCAGAAGGTGAGAGTGACACTGAAAAGGGTTAACACAAAAGACATTGACTGAGGTGGATGTGTGAGGCCTCCTGAGATGTAGTATTCCTTACTTTGAGCACACGACTTTACACTTGTTACAAATACGTATTTTTTACCACTGTTTGCTTTTACTCGGTTTTCAATATTTTACACATTGTATTATCATTGTATACTGTACATAGTCACATTGTTTTGATTGTAGATCGGCACTATATTGTTCTATTGTGCTTTATGTAGAGTATCACTTATTTGGGTGTACTTATCAGTGCTTTGTAGAGCTCTTAGTTTATATTGGTGAGAGGTATATATTTGTTTAATACGTTTTCTGTGCTCAGTCTGTCACTCTAGCTATAACTCATGCCACCTTCTAATAATTTTTTAGGGTTTGGTTTTTTTTACCGATAAAGAAACAATTCCTTTTATTCCTTGGTGCAGCTACAAGCTTAATTTTCACACATCTTGGTTAAGACGCCCACAAGGCTCAAAACTACAATGGCTATATTTAACAGCACTTGGAACCATTCTGCTACATTAGATACTCTAACTTACTGAGGACAGGTTTGCTTTAATGTCCCCTTCCCCTGCAGCACATACTCCCTTTTTCCCTCTTCCTGTATTGCTATATGTTACTGTAGGGTGGTAGGAAAGGAAGCTCGGAGTAAACTAAAAAAGTCAAGGCTCACATAAGGCTGAGGACACTTTCCCTGCCCCATGCGACATTGTTAGGGTATTTAATAACCACTGGCCTTGTCAAATAAGAGGAAGATGATGAGTCATGTGGTCCTGCATTCCTGAAAATATGCTAGAGGGAAGGGGGACAATAAAGTGAACCACTAGATTTGACCTGCATGGACAAAGTGATCCACAATGCACAGAAGAGCTACCATATTAATACCGTCATATTGTCATCATGTGCAAAAATATCATAGTTTATCATCCAGGTCCACAAATGCCGTGAGCTTTGCTTACGTGTAACGAATGCCGAGTGGTAATAGCCGCAGGAGACCCAAGAAACCGGCTTTCCAATATCCACCTGGTGAGGGCTGCAAACTGTTTTTTCTTCACCGAGGCCAAGCTGCCCTTCTAAATTTTCTCCCCACATGAAAAGCTTCCCATCCGCTGAAATAAAGCACAAATAATGCCTTCTATTCAATTTCATATGTTATTTAAAGATTTCCAATCACTCTGTCTTCTCTGCAGTGGAAAAGAATAGTGTTATTTTACTGCAAGGACTAAAGGCAGGTTTATTTCACATGAGACGGGAAAGAGAACGGGATCTGTCTCTCACAGCTGCAGCTATGTATAATGAATGCTTGCAATAACCTACAACTGCCTGTCTATAAAAAAAAAAAAGCACTTGGATTATTTTCCTTTTATAAGCCCTGGCTCTGTCTATTTGTATATCAGGATTTTAAAATGCAGTATCACCCAGACATGTTATATACTGATGCAGATTTGTTTAGTCATTTTTTATCATTGCTAACCATTGAGCCTCACATCATCTCTGAATTCAAGCTGAGACAATCTTTCTTTCTAGAGGGTGGCTACTTTTGTTCCCCATGGTTGCTGTGTGTGTTGTAAAGTAGCTTGCTCCCATGATGGACAACAATCTCACGTTTAGTTTACTAATTTGTATTGCGACTGTAGTCCATCACAGGAGCAAGCTTGGAGCCATGGCTACTTTAGAACACACACAGGGGCCATGGGGAATAAAAGTAGCCACCCTCCAGAAGGAAGGACAGAATCAGCACTAATTCAGAGATTATTTGAGGATCTACAGCTGAGGAATACACAAAGAAGATACATTTCTGTTTCTGAACGCATTTTTAAGATTTAACGAGTTTAGTGTCACATTAACAATTTTATGGATCTGGCACTGTTGAACTGTCACATAGACAGGTAAATTAGAACTATAATGTACATATATGGCCAGCTACTTAATTTCTGATCAACAAAAATCTATTGGCAGTTATCTTCTCACGAACTGTAAATACTGGCCGTGGACACTGCAGATGCCTGACTCTGCACAGTCCTGGCATCAGGAGGACTGCTTGCTGCTAGCATCTGTACGTGGCCTTCATTGCAAGCATGGATGCAACTTCATACAAGCACACATCTGACATCTTCATCTTAGGATGCTAGGCAGAAAAAAATAACAAAGTAGAGCCCATGGTGCGGCCCCTGCTGGTGGCCAAACCCAACATCTGCTAGAGGCAGCTCAGTTACTTACAAAGCAGTAGAAAGTCACAGACAATCTCCAGAGGGGAGGGAGCTGTGTCCTTCAAATGAACACAGAGAAAAGGATTACGATGAGTACAAAAGCAATCCTGTTTTCTCTTCCTTTTATTGAAGGACACAGCTGACAGCTTCTTCTTACGGATGGGACACCCCAAAGCATTGAGAACCGAGGGTGGGGAAGCCAAACAAAAGAACATGAAAAAAGGTACCCACACAGACTAAACAGCTGCATGTAGAACTTTGCGGCCAAAACAAGCATTCGCAGAAGTAACAACATCAACCTTATAAAAACGAGTAAAAGGTGTGCACCAAAGACCAGGTGGCCACCTTACAAACCTGCACAAACAGAAGTCTAATGATGAAAATCCCAGGACTTGCTACCACCCATAGTGGAATGAGCCGGAGCCGGAACCGGAAAGTGTGGAGACTGGTCCCTGAGGTTGTAAGCCTGAACAATAACCTCCTAAACCATTGTGAAATGGTGGCCGCGGAGGCCACCTCCCCCTTCTGGGGACCCTCAATGACAACAAAAAAGGAATCAATCTAGCGAAAAGATTCAGTGGCAGAAAAAAAAGCTTGCACCACCCTAACCAAATCTAGGCGATGCAGAGCTATCCCTTTAGCATGCATCAGATGAGAACAAAGGGAAGGAAGGGTGATATATTCATTGAGTTGAAGCACAGACACCACCCTAGGCAGAAAGGAAGGTTGAGGTCGAAGAACCACCTTGTCCTTATATATAATCTAAAAAAACGGGAGCTTACAAGACAAGGTAGCCAATTTCGACACCCTACGGGCAGAGGTAATTGCCATCAAGAAAACTATTTTTCGAGACAAAGTTAGCATGGACAACTCTCAAATATTTTCAAAGGGTAGCTTCTGTAAAACCGAGAGCACCAAATTCAAGTCCCACGGAAACAATGGCGATCTGACTGGAGGAGAGACATGCAACACCCCCTAGATGAAGGAACACACCAGTGAGTGAGGAGCCAACAGGCATTCAAAAAAAAGTCAACAAAGCCAAAATCTGACCCTTGATTGTACAATGAGCCAGGCACTGATCCACTCCACGTTGAAGGAAGGCCAAAATCCTAGCCATAGAAAAAGGCACACAATGACACACCAAGTGACTCACACCACAAAATATAAGCTTTCCAAGTGCGATGATAAACATTGCAAGAGGTAGACTTGCATGCCTTAAGCATAGTAGGAAATCACAAAGTCCAACAACTCCCTATCCCTCATCACCTAGTTTTCAATAGTCACGCCTTTAAAGCGAGCAACGGTAAAGGATTGAAAATCAAGCCGTGGAGGAGAATCCATCCCTCAGTACACAGAGCGTGGCTGCTCACAGCACCACGCTCAACCACGCCCCCTTATAGTATCGTGTGTGCCTGTCAGCACAGTGCAGCAGTGCCCACAGAAGCACAATGCACACAGCAGCAGATGACACAAGCTAAGGGAGAAACAGCGGCTGCAGCCCAGGGGGGTGGGAGAGGGAGGGATTGCTGTGAGCAAGCCTGTGAGGAGAAAGCTGCATAATTGAGCACAGCTCAGCCAGAGAGGCGACCTAGGAAGGAGGGGACCCTAATCCTAGGGACAGAACACTAAAGTGAAAGGCACCTACAGTCCACTCCCTACAATAACCCAGCATGGAGAAGAGAGCTATACTCACCAATCCAGGCAGATGTCAGGGTACAATCACCCACAAAAGACCACCTCCCACCAGGGGTGCTGTTAGCCGGGGGGGGGGGATGCTGTGATAAACCAGCCCTTTGCTGGTCGGTCATATGCGTCCCTCCGTGAGGTATCTCGCAGGTTGCCCCAACACCCAGGAGGGGCCGTCACAGCCGAGCCTGCCTTACAGCTGGGATCTAAATGCGCTCGCAATGCGCACGCTCGCAAGCTGAGCGGGGGAGACTATAAGGATCTATATTATCCAGCCTGTCACCCACCTCAGCTGTTGATTTAGGGCCAAAGAAAGAAAATCAACAACATAACAACAACAAAATTAGGAAACTAAGATCCCCAGCAGGGAGCTAGTTCCATACTCCTCGACGCTAGGAAAAAAAACTGAGCTGCCTCCCCATAGGCTGTGCTTCGTTTTCTTCTGCCTAGCATCCTACTCCTGCAGGTGGCGGTATAACCCAATCAGTAAGATGAACATGACAGCTGTGTCCTTCAATTAACAGAAGAGAAAGCTAGTCCACAGCAGCAGCTTTGGTTAATACATTCTAGTTAATAAATCTGTTACAGTACCTGGGAATAGTTCGGCCCTAATAGAAAGAAAAGTATTGTGCGAGTCCCAAAACAAGCTCATGAACTCTGTAATATTTTATCTGCTATCAGTGAACTATAAAGTGGAGTGCTTTATGCAACCAACTATTTAAAAGGAGGCAACCAATAAACCATATGCATGGAAAAGAAGAAATCATCGCATAAAAACACACTTTATAAATACTGTAATATCTTTATTTTATCCATTGTATCATAATGTGAGTGTTCTTTTATCAGTAGCTTCCTCTGAGATGCACTTTAAAAAAATCATATATCATAAAAATCATAATAATAGAACTCAGTATAGCATTAGGAGTAGTTTTTCTTATGTAGAAGATTGTCTGAATCTTAAAAACACTAATTTATTCAAAAAGTCATGTTTTTGGTGTTTGAAGTACATATAAAATGACTACTTACAACATACAGCATTGTGTACAACCCGTAATCAAAATTTCTTCCATATATAAA